CTCTTTATTCCTCTTCATACTCCAAGTGTATTTGTATCCTAATGTAGGCAAGTCACTGATTTCACAGTCTTCAATAGCTTCGTGAAACCCATTTAGTAAGAAACGTGGATACAAACCACCACCTAGCTTTTCATCCTCTGTCAAAAGATTGTTATAATCCCCAACTCAAATCCAAGGACCATTGCTCCTAGCTGCTAAAGCTCTAAGCATATTCCAAGAGGTTCTACGCTTGTTACGGTCAGGAATCCCATAAAAGCCAGTTAAGCGCCAAGGGTTATTATTAGTACTCAAATTACAATCTATGCATTTTTGAGAAAATCCAGTGATTACCAAATTAACATGCTTGTTCCAGAGCAACGAAAGACCACCACTTCTCCCAATACAATCCACACTGAAACACTCATCAAAACCCAAATAAACCTTCAATTCCGCCATTCTAGAACTAACCACTAACGTCTCCATAAGGAAGATCACGTTTGGCTGAAAACTTAGAGATAAATCTCTAAGCGCACTAACTGCCCGAGGGTTGCCCATCCCTCGGCAGTTCCAGCTAAGGATTTTCATTGTTGTCGGCTATCCCGCTTACCAGGATCAGCCGCTATCTTAGGTACATGTGACAGGGATGAGACATTAGAGTTGGAAATAGATTCTGTCTGTATGGATACTTCATCACTGTTTATTGAGTTACAACGATGTCGTTTCTTACCTTCGTCCATTTTGGGCAAGATTTCTTCTTCACCAAGACCCACCCTTTTCTCCGAACCCAATGACAATCTGTCCGTATCCATAAGATTACCTTCCACATAATCTGAACCCAGTGTAGTTTTTAGGCCAAATAAGGAAAGCCTAAAATCTTCCGATTTGAGCATATTACTAGGTCCACTATTTACTCCCACAAACTGAGATTCAGGCAGAGTGTTAGATTGTTGTCATTGTCACGCAACCACCAGCTCCGATTACTGCTCCTCCGGTACGGCTGAACCCTAAGCCCGTCATCCCACATACACACCAAATCCTCTTTCTTATGATGCAACCGGAGATCACAAAAGGAGTCCACATGACCGATTCTGCCACATAGAAAACAGTAGATCTGAATTTTTTCATACCTGAATTTCACATAGAACGCATTACCCTTGTCATCCACAATCTTCTTCTTCCGCTTGAGAGGTAAACAGATGTCCATTCTTACTCTAATGCGTATGAAGTCATCCATACCCGAAACATTTTTACCAATCCCATATTCAAGAAATTCGCCAATAAAGTTTCCTAGGAGTTTGGCCATATCGTCTCTCATGTAACCAGGGGGAACGTCTATGACTTGTACCCAGATGTTTGTTTGAAGTAATGGAATCTTGAGAGGATCTTCACCACGTTGAAACAGGCTCCAGACCAATAAATGACGAATGAACAGCCACGGTGCTCCATCCAGAACTCTATCTAGATCAACTTGGTTATAGAAATGGAATAGGTAGCGTTTAGCGCCAAGATCAGAGATAGAAATATCTCCCAAAGGGTGCCAAAGATCTGCTAGTGTTGTCTTCATCGCCTGAAAGTTTATCACGTTATAAGTCAAAAACATTCCAACCAAACAAAAGTCATCCACTGCTACCTGGGCGATTGCTGGAGCCGCCACAACCAGATCTTCCTCCTCCTCATGAGCAAGGGAAAGAAGATTCAGATCGAGATCCATAACCAGCGATGTTTATGGTTTCATAGAAACCTTGAACAAAACTTGAAGAAACTTGAAAAACGAGAAAAAGAAAGGAAGCGTGCACTGCGGCAGACAAAGCGTGCACTGTGGCAGACAAACTTTTTTCAAGGCTAAATTTAATTGATATCGCCCTTTAAATATTGTTAAATTGTGTAATTATCAAAGACTTCTTACTCTTTGTTACCAGAGAAATTTGAGATAAGTCCAAAAGACAAAAAATTTGATAGGTAACCATTTTTTGATCTCTTAAGAATATTCGAGCTTAAGATATTGTGCAGTATTTTGCAGTTTTGTTATTTATATTATTGTAACAATTAAAAATAATATTTTCCTCTTTTTTTCTCTCTGTAAACTCACTTTATCTGTGCTATTCTCTCTGTCATTTTCTTCTTTTCCTGCAGATTCAAGTTCTAAGAATTTTTTTAATTTTCATTAAATATATTCATTTCTTTATTTTTCATCAAAACCCACTTGATATGAGACCATTTATAAAAGAAATAAAAATCAAATAAAAACTTGATATATGCATAAGCTTACCATGATCCATCGTCTAAAAACGAAAGTGTGTATCAAACTGCATTTTTCAAAACTCAAATTCCTTAATTCTAGTTTAAAAAAGAACATCCAAATTGTAAAAAAAATTGAAAATATAAAAATGCATAAGCGATGCAGGTGAAAATCATAGAATTGGGTGCATAAATTGTATGATTTTTATTTGAAATTTTAGAGACCGAGACTTAATTTGTTAGAGAGAGAGAGAGAGAGCCATTTTTGGAAGTGAAGAGGCAAAAAAATAATGAAGAAAGAGGGAGTGATCTCTGGCGTTGAATTGAAACTTAAAGGAATTGTGCTGTTTGTGGGCCACTTAAATGCATGTGTTCTCTTCTGTCTCGAGAGATATGAAATACTAACAAGGGTAAATTATTATTTAGTCCCTCAGGTTTTACATAATTAACTAACTAATCCCAAGTTTTGAGCAAATATCTAGCTAGTCCCTCAGGTTTAACTCAGCTAGTCCCTCAGGTTTAACTCGTCTAATTAAATCATTTCTCCGAAAAGCGTCGGTTTTTTTCCGTTAATTGAAGACTAAAAGACTAAATACCCCCTCACTAGCTGACGTGACCATAACGAAAAATTATATCTGTCCCTCAGGTTTTACATAATTACTAACTAATCCCAAGTTTTGCACAAATAATCTCAACTAGTCCTCAGTTCACTCCGTCAATTATAAGGTCCTCTCCTCTGAAAAGTAGTTCTTTTCCTTAATTGAAGACTAAAGACCTAAAACACCCTCCCTCGGACCATATGAACATAATGATATACCTAGCTTGTTTCCCTTTTGTTCCTTCCCATTGCCATAATTGATATACCTAGTTTTATCTTGCACATATTAACCTTACATTAAATATTAATATTTATATTCAAAAGTATAGTGAAAATTATAATAATATAGTGGCAATTACTTTTTATCTATAAATAACTATTATTTTAACGCGTTTCTTCTCTGAAATATCTTGTTTTTAGAATATTACATGAGTAATTAATTTTTTTCAATTTATCCTATTTATATAAATTCAATAATTATTTTTATAATTTTTCCAAAATCATATTTAACATCTCCCTCTCCTATACTTAAGGTTACGTAATTACAAATTAATTAATATTTTGTTCTATAAATTTCCTATAAGAATAAATTTACTTAATTAATTTACCTATTAAAAACCATTAAAACATATTTATGAACTAGATGCGGCAAAAAATACTTTGTTTTTTTTTTTTTTAATCTATTATCATTTATCAATGATAATAGTAATGTTTCTTGATAAAATTTGCATATTAAATATGAATAAAATAGAAAATTATGTTTATTACTTTTTGTCTAAAAAAGAAACTATGATGATAAGTTGGGGTAAAAAGAAAAATGAGGTATTTACTTTTTTGAAGAGGTATTTACTTTCATGATTCAGTTAAATTTAATAATATTTAATTAGAACATCAAATTGATTTTTTTATCCTTTTTTTAATACTGTCTTTGTTCCATAATACTTGTCAGATTTGAGAAAATAGTTTGTTCTAAAATATTTATCTAATTTGGTCTAAAATACTTGTTATATTCTCCCCTTTCATCATACTTGCGTCCACTCAGTTTATGAGGGTTTTAGTCTTTTATCTCAACTAACGAAAAAAAATAACTTTCGACGGTAAGCACATTCAATTAACGAAGTAAACCACGAGGACTATTTAATATTGCGTGACAAACTTGGATAGTTAGATAATATGTCTAAAACTGAGATAGATAATAATTTCCTTCACGTCCACCGTCAGCTAGGAGGTTTAGGGTCTTAGTCTCAATTAATGGAAACAAAAAACCAAAGACGGAAGGACCTTTTAATTAGACGGAGTTAAACCTGAGGGACTAACTAGATATTTGCTCAAAACTTGGGATTAGTTGGTTAATTATGTAAAACTTGAAGGACTAAATAATAATTTACCCTACTAACAATCTTATAACTTTAAGAGGTCACAAGAACATTTTGAAAGTAGAGAGCCACAAGATTTTTTGCTATTGTACAATGTTTTGCAGTTCTGTTATTTATTCTATCGTATGGAATTAATATTTATATTAGTATCAAGATATAACAAAGAGTATATTATAAAACTTTACTCCTAATATTAATAAATTTAGACAACTAGCAAATGTTAAAACAACTAAAATTGCTTAATAGACTTTAAAATGCCTTGTTCAACAACAACTTCTAAGGTAGCATTCAATGTTTTGACTATGATCAAAATATTATTTGATCTATATTCGTTTTTGAGAATGTAATATTTGTAGTAGCATTTAGAGATTAAAAAAGTGTTTCATGAAATGTTATAGTATTTGACAACAATTGATTGTATTTTTTAAAAAATTATTTTACATTTGACATTTTAATCAAATAATTATTTTAGAAAATGCATACGCTTTAAACCACTCATAACTAACCACTAATATCTAGTTGTTGGGAGCTATATTAAAACCACTAGTATTACTCAATGGAGTCTAAATATTAATTTCTTTATTTTCTTTTAAGAGGAAATATTAATTTTTTTGTTAAAATTTTATAATACTAAGTTCAAATTTGGCCAACATAAATTGCCCCGTGAACGTTCACCAAAAAACCTTGTGACCTTATCAATTTTTAAAATCGCACTGTGACTCCTTGAATTTTACTTTTTATAATAATTGCATAGCTTGCCATGTTTGAAAATGCAAATTGAAATGCACGCGTTATAAAGAGAGTGATGGTAAAGAAGTGTCTGATGTGGACTCTACCACAATATGTATTTTAGTTATAAAAGACTATTATGAGACCCACCAAACATTATAAAAGAAGTGTCTGACGCGGACTCTACCACAACATAAATTCTTGTTAACTTCACCACCCAATTTTCTCTCTTTCCTTCATTAAGTGAACGTAAAAACATAAAACTACATGTCAAATCCTTCATTTTTGGATGCTTGTTTTCTATTCATGAGCCGTAGATGTCGATATTTCTCTTTGAGAATGCTGGTTTTTACGAATCACCACTACTATCGCCAGTATCAGACCTTCAAATATTATTCCTCAATTTGGGTTTCTTAAACATCTCCTTTGGCAACTGCATCACAATCTTAGCTCCAAATCATTTCCTGGCAGTAATTACCCACAAACAAATTTTCAATTAAATTAAACTCCACTTAGAAATTTAAAAATTTTTCCAATCAATTACTAATTATTTATAGCTAAGAATCAAAATTCCAAGTTAGAAAGTTTGAGTCTATAAGGGCAGGAAACTATTACACATTGTTAATATCTAAAAATAATAATAAAAAAATTTCTTGTTAAAAATCATTGGACAGGTTAATAAAAAAATCAACACCATTAATAGAAAATCAATTTGTTTTATGGAAAATCCATTTGAATTTAGACCCCCAAAACCCCTAATTCAAGAGAGGAAAAAAAAAAAAAAAAAAAGAACATTAGCTACAAGTAAAAAAAATAAAGTTGACAATAATATTTAGATTTTTTAATCTGATTGTCTAACATGGCTTATTGTAAATGTGACCCATCTGATAGCACCAACCGAACACGGCCACTCTGTTTGGGTTCCTTTGTTTGCACCTGTTTCAGCTCCGTTACTTGTCTGCCATGGTTGCTCCGCCTCTGGTTATCTTGGCTATCACTCATACTGACAGATTCATCATCTCTGTTAAGAATAATAAATTAATTGAAAAACTTAGAATTTTTTTAAATTTAGGATAAAATTATTGATTCGCTTATGAATTGAGAGAGAGAGAACTAAAGAAAGTTTTGAAGCAGAGAGAAAGGAAGCATAGAGAGAAAGGAAGCATAGTGCTTGGAGATGGGATAAAGACGAAGATGGCGGTTGATGATAAGGTAGACGGTAGAGATGTGGTGGACAAATTTGACGTGGCAAAATTAATTGCCATTTGGAATGCAATTTTCCACGTCATCGCACGTGTATTGCACTGTATATTTTTTACTAGATGAAGGCCTGCACTCTCTGCTCGGGTTGCTTTTATAACTTATAATTAAAAATTATATTTAATATATTATTAAAAATTATATTCTCTCATGAATTTAATTATATTCCACTTATTTATTTATTTTATTTCATTTGGATAAATTCAAAATGTATGGCTATAAAAGTTAAAGGTAGTATTAAATTTTTTTTAATTCATTGGATTCCTTTATGCGCTCCAATAACACAGCGGTGTAGTCCTCCCCTTAGCTCATCAATTTAGTGAAAACAACTATGGTCGAGAGAAATGTGGTATTAAATTTTGGATAGATAAATGGATTACAAATACATTTAACAAATTTTAATTTTATCCATATAACTATAATTTTCTTCAAATCACCTTGAAATTGATTGAGACCTATGAACTAAATACTATGATATATATGGATCGACGAAGCAAGGTGTGTAATTGTTACAAAGTGTAAAATTTAATGTGAAGTTATTATAAAAAAGAAAAGTTCACAAGGGGTCACAAAGGTCATTTTAAAAGTTAAGGATGCTAGGTGATTTTTGGTAAAAGTTTATGGAAAAATTTATATATTCGGCGGTTCAAAATTTTCACCTAATAACCTTGTCAAATAATTCAAAATAAATGGTCAAATGCGTGAATATACTCCATTATTTTATAGAAAAAAACATTATAACAGCCCAAACTTTATAATGACTTATTATATTCATAAAATTATGAATTTTGCTAATATTTTATCCCTCTTTATATTAGCAATAATACTTTTTTGGTGTTTTTGGCGTTTACATGCAGAATATTCACTTAACGTGTGATCAACATAATCTTCGGAATAATAGTTTTCCTATTTTTCAATTTTCTAATGAATACTTAATTGATTTAATTTTCAAAATTTAAATATTTAATGAAATAATTTTTATAAGCTGAAATATTTAATTTGTATAATTTTATAAATTGAAATTTCAATGTATTAAAAGTAAAAGTTGAAAGTGATTGGGAGATTTTTTTAACGTAAACGCATAATGAATTTATGTACTGGCGCAAAATAAATCAAGCATAAACGCCATTCATACAACCCTGCATCCACGACACAAATGGCGTGGACTGGTGGTTGAACAAACGGCTAGTGGAAATACCAGTCAGCTCCACTGAACACATCACTATGAAGACATCACTATGCGCCAAATGTTGCACCAATAAATTGCCGAATCAACCTAGAGGTCCCACTAAAATTTCTATCACTATGAAACCGCTGGATGCAAAACGTCCAAACACAATCTACGGTCTGCAATCCACATGATGCACAGTACCCAATAAACAAAACACCCAATCTTTGTCTCCATCTCCCTGTGCATTTTTTTTGGACCTTTTTAGGTCTCTTTTCTTGGTAATTTCAATTTTCTCTATCAACTGCTCTGCTCTATCAACTCTCAGGTTTGCGATTCATAACTGCTTTTAATTTTACACTCAGAATTTTAGGTGTGAAGCTGCATGTGTTTCACTTTCTTAATTAATTTTGTATGAATTTATTTATTGATTACGCTTTGTAGTTTTTGCTTGGTTGCTGAGAAAACATAAGAAAATTAATGGATTTTTATTTATTCATTGTAATACATTTATGATTATGTTAACATTTCCAATTACCTACTAAAGCTGATGCTAACATATGCCAAGATAACTTACTTGCTTTTCTGCATAAATCCCTGCAAGTTAGTTCTTTGGTTGTATTATTAAGCTTATGTTAACATTTTCCACTCTAAAGTAAGTTTTCTAGTAGTATTATTCTATGTTGTCCCAATTGATGTTGACAGAATTTTTTTTTTTTTTTTGAAATCTAATTTAGTTTTTAGTGGTTTATTGTTTAATTGAAAATTTTAGCATCAATACTGCTGTTTGAGCAAAATGAAAAAAGCAGATATTTTATTTCATGGGATGGTTATATGCTGAATTAATTAAAGATTTTATTCCTGAGGATGACTGTATGATGAAATTAAATATGTGAAGTTCTACCTTTCTTATGCCCAGTGTTTCTCACTGCCCAAACAGTAGGAATTTTATTGGTTCAAGTTTGTTGCCTGGAGTAATCTGTAATGCAGTCATGGTATTTTTGCAGGTTTCAACATGGGAACAAAATGCAATGCTCTTTTGATCACTCTTCTACTTTTAATTCCTGTGGCTCTTTCTGTACACAATGTTGGGTTAATCAGAATTGGATTAAAAAAGCGGAAAATGGATCAAGTCAATCGTCCTGCTGGAACCATTGACTCCAAAGAAGGGGAATCAATGAGAACAGCAACCAAAAAGTACCATTTTCGTAATGATCTCAGGGACTCTGGGGATGCTGAATTTGTTACACTAAAAAACTACTTAGATGCTCAGTATTTTGGTGAAATTGGTATTGGCACACCTTCCCAGACTTTCACTGTGATATTTGACACGGGAAGTTCTAATCTCTGGGTACCCTCTTCAAAATGTTATTTCTCGGTGGGTCCCTTTGTTCCTTTCTCAATATTTAATTTTTCTATCATGTTAGTGCTCTTTTTTTTTTTTTTTTTGGTTGAAATTCATTTGTAAAAATTATATAGATGGTTTTTCATTTTGGTGCAGCTTGCTTGCTACTTCCATTCCAGGTATAAGTCCAGCGAATCAAGTACCTATGAGAAGAACGGTATGATCCTTTTCCTGGTTAAGTATACTTTTGAATGAGATCATGACAGGATTCCCCCCTCCCATCCTCTTCTTAATTTTCCTTTTTTTTTTTTTTTTTTTTTTTTTTTTTTTTTTTTTTTTTTTTTTTTGGTCGGTTAGGGTACAATTTGGAATTATTCTTTTTTTTTTTTTTTTTTTTTTTTGTTCGGTTAGGGTACAATTTGGATGTATTCCAATGAATGACCCTCTTAGTCTATAGAATTTTATATAACATTGCTGTATAAAAAGCCTTTTACTCCATTTATATCTGGGGATATTGAAATTAACTTAATATGAAAATATCTTCTCTTTACATTTTGGTAATTCATTTAATCTTGCCACATTCTTTTGATTGGGATGATATAGGTGCTTCATTTTGAAAGCAAGCACCAGTTCTATAAATACTGATGTATGTTGGTGTGGCATGTGTTTCACTCTGGCTTCCAGGAAACATATAAATATAAATTATCCATATGGTCATTTTTCATATGTGATATATTTTAGTGCATGAAGGCATGCATTACATGTTTTGGCTATGACTAAAGCTTTTTTTCCTTTTACCTTCCAATACATGAATAGTATTTCAGAACAGTTGATATATAACTAAGGCATTCAATGACCCATGCTTGCCAGAAAATGGACCATGAGAGACTTCTAAAGCAATTCAAGATCACTGTTACATGCACTTATGCTGTCTATTTCATAAAATAAAGGTCTATTAATTAACCAATTCATGTTTTTTAAGAGAAGCCTCTTTTATTTTACAGTAGGGAGAAACTTTTTCAATATTGATATTTATCATAGTTTCTTCTTCTATGCAGGTACATCTGCTGCTATCCGATATGGCACTGGTTCAATTGCCGGTTTCTTTAGCCAGGACAATGTCCAAGTTGGTGATCTTGTTATTAGGGATCAGGTAACTTTGAGAAGATACATGTTTTTGGCATTTTCATTTAAACGTTTTGAGTTTCCATTAATAATGTTATTGGCCATTAGGATTTCATCGAGGCAACAAAAGAGCCAGGCATCATATTCATGGTTGCCAAGTTTGATGGTATATTTGGCCTTGGCTTCCAGGAAATCTCAGTTGGGAATGCTGTTCCTGTTTGGTAAGTCACTTAATTTCAGCTGCCAAATCCTAAGATTGGTTGTTTGAATATAACATGATAACTGTTCCTCGTTGTTCATATCAAATGATTGATATATTTCTGCAAATAGATAATTTTTTCTATTTAAAATTTCAAATTTATGGTCACTGTTATTTGCAATCTCGATGTTTCTGCTTAACTGATTATCATGCTATTCTAATAGGTATAATATGGTTAATCAAGGTCTTGTTAAGGAACAAGTTTTTTCCTTTTGGCTAAACCGCAATGTCAAAGGAGAAGAAGGGGGAGAAATTGTGTTTGGTGGGGTTGATCCTAATCACTACAAGGGTGAACACACATATGTTCCTGTAACTCAAAAAGGTTATTGGCAGGTTAGCTTCCCAAGACCCGTGTTTGTTTCAACCCTGCATATTCTATTCTTAACTTCTCCATCTACCTCTTTCTCTCTCTCTTTTCAAATTTATTTGTAATGAGTTATTTCTGATTCACAGTTTGATATGGGTGATGTATTAATTGATGGTGAAACAACTGGTAATTATACATAACTTATTGTGTACTCTTGTTACTTCTATTATGATTCTGATCATCATAATCATCAGCATCTGAGATGCTCCCTTCCCTTTACAGATTCTGCCTTTTTGCTTCTTATGTATTGAAAGGTCTGTTTGGTATATGTACTTCTTTTCAGGATTTTGTGCAAGTGGCTGCAAGGCAATTGCTGATTCTGGAACTTCCTTGCTGGCAGGCCCAACGGTATTTTATTTAGGCTGCACTTTCTGTTGAACATTTCTCTGAGACTCGTGCTTGATTGAGCTGTATAATGGCATACATGCACATGGATAAAATTGTATTTATATCTTAGGATTTGGCCATTTCACAACTAACTATAGCGCATGAAAGCTTAGTGAGGAAATATGTTGTAGTTTTCAGACCAACTGGGAAGGGCATGATTCGTGAATTGCTTGCTTACTGTGTTTAAAAGCAAATGCCTTATGTAAGGCTAGAGGTGCATGAGGTTTGCACCTATTTAGAAAAAGGTTCTCAAGTCTTTTTTATTTCAAACTAAAGCTCCTTCACTTCAAAAAATGGGGTATACAGGTCAATTAAAGTTAATTATTTTTCTTTCTTCTATTTTTAATCCCTCTCTCTTTCTCTTTCAGTTTCTCTATGCTCTGTCCTCCTATATATCTCTCTCCCTTTACTGCAGAACTCTTTACTCATAATGAAAAGACTTGTTTCCTTGAATGCACCTTTTGCTTTTGACTACCTTGGAATGATTGGAAATAGTTTTGTAAATGTAAATGAATTTTAAACTGTCTTTGGTTCCTTCAATGTGATGTGGATAGAAAATGAATAATTGCACACAGAGCTTTACTCCTGTTACTTTTCTTGGTGTCGTTGGTTTAAAATATGTTGTACAAGTTCTACAAAGCTAGAAATTGCATGTTTAAGATCTTTACCTTCTGGAGTGTGTTGGAAGATCATTTTCTGATTATATTACCATATTCATGCCTACCATCAAATTTCATTTTTCTTTTTGAACAATGTGGCAATCTAGCTACTTGAAATTGTTAGGCAATGTGTTAGGTCTAACATTGCCCCATACTAGTGATAATCATTGCCATTTTTTTTATGAATAATCAACTTTCAATTGAAATAAAAACTTTGTCATTTTGCTACAGCAGATTGTACCATCTCTTACATAGACATAGATCAGTTTCATTTTGATCTTGAAACTATATTCTCATTGAAGTGTAGTAGCTTTCTGATTGATATTTCTATATGCTTTTACATCCTTAGACTGTGATTACTCAAATTAATCATGCCATTGGAGCCTCTGGTGTTGTAAGCCAAGAATGCAAAACAATGGTTGAGCAATATGGGAAAGTTATTCTGGAACTGCTGTTAGCTCAGGCAAGTGTTGCAGGTTTTCTGATTCTTTTCCTTTTTAATGGTTCATAATTGCTCTTCCCCTTAGAGTAGTACATTTGGATGGACTTGATGCAACCTGTAAAGATTTGTGTTTTCTTGGCCGAACTTATGCTCAAATTCCTTGGACAAACTGCCTTCTTTTTTCTCTTTTATTTTCCTCCTTATCCTTTCGTAAAGCAGGCACAGCCACAAAAGATCTGCTCCCAAATTGGTTTTTGTACTTTTGATGGGACTCAAGGTGTTAGGTGAGCTTCAACCCAGTTGTGCTATTAGTATTTTCAGGTTTGGAATTTCACTTGGTTTTGTTAACTCTGCTACATCTATTGTGCCACAAATATGTCAACTCCATCTTTACAGTACAAACATTGAGAGTGTGGTGGACGCAAGCATGGATAGACAATCTGATGGTCTGCAAGATGCTGCATGTACTGCTTGTGAGATGATGGTGGTATGGATACAGAATCGTTTAAGGCTAAATCAGACACAAGATCAAATCTTAAATTACGTGAATCAGGTAAGCTAGCCTTTTTAATTCACATTTCTCTGCAGGAAAGTGGTCTTGCAGTAACTAATGGTCTCACTTGCAATTGCAGCTCTGTGACCGATTGCCAAGTCCAAATGGAGAATCAGCAGTTGATTGTAGCAGTCTATCTTCCATGGCTAACATCTCGTTCACAATTGGTGGTAAAGCATTTGAGCTTACACCAGAGCAGGTATCTTATCATACTGTTTCTGATAAAAAAGACTAAGAATTTTTTGTAGCAGCAACAACTAACTTTGATTTACTTTCAACAAAAAAGAAGAGGAAAAGCTGATGTGGCAACACTACAAAATAACTTTTTTTTGTTAAATTTTCCACACGGGTTAAAAAAATCCATGGCCCACAATTTTATTTATGAATTCAATTGAATTGAAAAGGGAAAAAAGAAACTATTCAAACCAAGAAGCTGTGGCTTCCCAACTCTTCCATGAACAGATTGACATGCTTTCAATTTTTATCATCTGCTTCCTGTTGCAAATGTACAGACCTCGATTCTTCCTCCCAGACCATGAAATAATTGTTGGCCCCTGTGGCAACCCAAGGGGTTGGTAGGGGAAAAATGGATCAAACCAAATTAGTTCAACCTAATCCAAACAAAGGAAAATAAACATGCTTCTGTCACTCTTAAGAGTACGTTTGGCTCCTAAATATGACTAACTGAAATTTTGTCTGGAACTATGAAAACCAAATAAAATCCTAACTGAACAAAGAATTGACATAAATATATTCACTTAATTTTTGCTTTTTATGTTTATTAGTGTGTGTGTAGGACCAAATTGAAACTAAATGCATCAAGTTATGATTTGGGTATTTGAAAACCTCCGCTATCTGAATGCTAATGCTATATGAGTTCCTTGCTACTGCTGTGAGTATATGGTTTTGTTTGCAAATAAATCCAGATAGTCAAAATTAAAAGCCATGCTTTTTGCTTCATTGAGATAGTCTGAATTAAAGTTATCTACTCAGGCTCCACTGTCACACATGCATTTTCTCTTCAATACATATATCATTATCATGGATTTGCAAAAAAGCAATTATTTGATTTGATTGTGAGAAACTAACCAAAACCAAATATGTAAACCAAGGTAAAATGACCTTGGTTTCGGACAGCATAACTTGTTTAGGATATGATTTGAATTATTTATTTAGTAACTGAGTTGAATGTTTATAACATTTACTCTCAACTTACCAAACTGAACCACGAATTCATTTAAGAGGGGAGGGGGTTCATTCTTTTTGGTGATCAAGATCTTTTCTCCAGACACTTGGAATTATCAAAAAGAATGTCAACTTCTGAGCCTGTGTGAAGTTGCAAAGTAATTAACTAAAAACCACAACTTAAACAAGCATAAAAACATCATCTTGAAGCTGAGAACTGTACATTAGCTTATAAAAATGGAGTAAACAAAGTATTCTATCTCATATTCTATGAAACACAACAGGCATACATTTTTCATATAAGAACAGCAAATTTTGACATCAAAATATTAAAAAAAAAAAAAACTTGTAAGAGAAACTAGAGAAGAACATGCAAAGTGTAGACTTAAAAATAAATTCAGGCCTAAAGTTTTAATAGTTAGGTCAAAGAGAAGGAAAAAAAAAATCTAAAAATTTTAGTTTTTTTAACCTTTTTCCTACAATCACGGTCTTTCTTTCCATTATTGACCCATTTTCAAGTACCAGGATGAGTATAGAGATTTATCTTACTTGAGGGGAGTTCCCCAACTATTTCAGCAACAAGCTTCAAAGTAGGTGCTTGCCTATTTAATAACAAAGCATGGGGTGGTAATCTTCTTATATTCATGGACAACACAGTTGATTCAGCTAATATGAAGTTCTACATAATTATCATCAGCCATTAATGTTAATACTTTGAATGGCCATATGGACGTATATTTGGTTTTACGAGGAAAAACCTATTTTTAAGCCCTTGGACTGTCTGTGTTTTGTATATTCCCTACTCTTCAATTGGTTATGAACCTATAAATTTTCCAATTTGAGGATTTTGAGGTCTTATTTAATGAAATATGAAAATTTATAATATGTTAATACTGGTTCGAAAAGCAGTAGAAAATTTAATAGATAAAACTCAAAAAAATTTAAAAGCACGAAAAATGGGATTTTCTTTCTTTCCTCGTTTTCCCTTAACTTCAATAATTTCCATGATGGAAAAATAATACACTTTTTAATACTTTTGAACTCCCAGCAATGAATTCCTTATTTATTTTGCTGTTAAATGCGTCCTTAGAGTCCTTAAATTCGAAAGACTGTGAACTGTATGGAACACAATTAACAAAAGTCTTCAGTGACTCAAAAAATGAGTTTTGGTTTATTATATCTTTTATTTGATGGATCTAGCATAATGAAGTAATGAACAATGAATCATGATTTTTGAACCAATTATAATTATCCTTCCAAACATTTTTATGAGGATATCAAATTTTCTATTCAAATAACCAACCCAAAATGAAATCCACTTTCTAATGCTTTCTCATTTTTCTATTTGTCATGGATCAGTATGCTGTTGTTTATTTATTAATTTTGGAACTGCAGTATGTTCTAAAAGTAGGAGAGGGAGTTTCAGCTCAATGCATTAGTGGATTTACTGCTTTTGATCTGCCCCCTCCTCGTGGACCTCTATGGTAAAATTTTCGTCCAATTATTGTTTATATTATATCATCTTTCAAATTTTATCATATTTTGGGCTGCTGATGCACAAAAATAAGAAGTGCTGACAAAATTGGTAGGGCCTGAGAATTACAGAAATTGGTTTTGTAGGTCCCATCTGACATATACAGTTTTAAGTTAGTTAGACATAAAATTGGATAGAAGATTTTGTAAATGAATGGTTTTTGAATAGCAATGAAATGAGGATGTAATCTTACTGTAGTTTTGGTAATGTGATGCAGGATCTTGGGTGATGTATTTATGGGCCCTTATCACACAGTGTTCGACTATGGTAACTTAACAGTTGGATTTGCGAAAGCAGCCTAATAAAACTCTTTATGTGATATATATATAATATGTATATTTTGGTATCAGAACATCTTCACTAATATGTGGCAGACCAGAAACTTATACATTTAAATAAACTAATATGTGATCTTAGTTCAAATAATTTGTGTCACAGAACTCTGTCATGGGTCTTGCCCGCTGTCACTATGTATACACACTTAAATTTCACTCACTCTCTCTCTCTCCCTCCCCCTATGTATATATATATTACAATTTTCACTTATAACACAAATTCATGTTCATTTTTCTTTTAAATGGATGTCTGTTCATTTACTCGTGGAACAGAAAAATTCCAATATTCACTCTATAACTTATGCTACAACTCTGAGTGGCCAGTTTGGAGATGCTTCCATTTGCAGGTGCGCTGTTCGGTAATAACATTATATAGTATTTAGTGTTTTAATCTAGTTAAGACATTATCTCTATCATTTATAGTGTTCGGTTGTAGTGTTTGGTTATAGTGTTCAGTTATAGCGTTTGTATTAGCGTTTGGGCGAATAAATTATGAAATGTTACTACTCTCTCTTACTTTCTCTAATATTTAATGAAATGCTAGTAAAACTGATAGCTACTAGAACGATTAACGCCTACTTTTGCTGAACATGGCCCCTAGGCTTTATTGGCCTAACTTTCAATTTCACCACGAACTTTTCGAGCAGTTGCTATTTCGCTTTAAATCAACTTCTGTACTTTGGTCATCTTGAACTTATCAACCTACTTGTAATTACACCCTAATTTGAATTAACATCCAACTCATTATTTTTGCATCTCGAAATTAGGTCAATTTTAAAATTAAATACTCAATCTTGATGTTTTTTTATTTATTATGTGAATAATTGGGTATGATTTTATTATTTATTGTTTAAATATTTAGGCATAGAGTCCATTTTTTTACATTATTTTAATCAAAATTTCAACTTTAATTTACTTTAGAGTGTAATTGTAACAAATTGATAAGTTCAGAGTATGGTAATTCACTTTTAGGATGCAATTGCACCCTAAAAGTAAATTAGAGTGTAATTACAATTGGTTGATAAGTTCATGGTGCCCAAAGTACAAAGGTCGATTTACAATAAAATTGCAACTACCTAGAAAGTTCTTTGTGAAATTGAAGGTTAAGCAAATTTTATTTAGAAACTAGGTGAAAGTTCGTGTATTATACAAGTTGCTTTGTTATTGTACATTGCATTAGAGGTTACTTTTTTGTTATATATATAAAAATAAATATTTATAAAAAAATAAATCCTACAACTTCGGAAATGAAAATAAACAAATAAATATATAAATATATAAAACTAAAATAAGGTAAATGCATACAATATAAAAGTCATGGACAATTAGTAAAAATAAAAAACAAAAGAGTCTCTCTCTCCCAAAACCTAACTCTTTTCTTCATCCACAGTGGCCACTGTGAGCTTTCACCAATATTCACCATTTTCATTTTTTTTTTTTAATAATCATTAGATTTGTATCTTTTGATACAGATCTGAATTATTGTTGCCAAATATTGGGTTTATTGTTCCTCATATCTTAAAATTTTGCTCTCAGATCTAGTCATGAGTTGTTAATGTCACAATTATGATGATTTTCTCTAGGATATTTTATTATTGGATAGTTATGCAGAAAAGAGTGCATATCTTTTTTCCAATAAAAGGAAGAAGTTTGAAAGTAATCAGATTGAACTTATAGAAAGACCTTAGAGTCGAACAGTAGCCATGAATAACCACCAAGCGGAGCAAGCGATCTCCTATTACTCTTACTCTTTACCCTCATTTAACCACCATGAATAACCACAATTAAAATATATATCTCTCGTTTCTCTTACTCTTTACCCTTTTTTAATAGAAGAATGGACTGATTTCAGATGGAAGGATCTATTATTGAGACGGAATCAGACGTTGGGAACTAAATAACTAACATATAAGAATACAATAACGAGATAATTAATTTTGTAAAACCTCAGTGATGAAATAATTATTTTTCCTTTATTAATTTAGTTTGAACTCAAATTTACAAGAGTTTGAATTTGTAGATATCTTCTAAAATATTATCACCACGTTTTAGACTCAAGAGGTTGAATGAGACTAGATTTTAAGGCTTTTTGGTAGATGAAGCTCAAAGGAATACCTAAGAAGTTTCTTTGTCCATTAACATTTTCCATTTGAGTACTACCACTTTTCAAGGAGAGAGATGGTTTAATAGGTGGAGGTAGAGGGATATAGTTCCTAGTACTTACCAGATTTATAGCAAGTGGTCTCTTGTGGTTTTGAAGAGTAATAGGACGAGTTGGATTGCCCCTATCCTTCAAGGAGATGGATGGGTCAATTGGTGGTCAAATCAACTTCCAATTTCTTGTCGAATTAGAAACAGAAAGTTCTTTGCAACCATAGGTGGTAGGTGGTGGAACTCAACTACCTCCATTCTTGAGAAAGAAAGATGGGCTAATGAACTTATATAGAACACTCAAGAAGAGTGGAGGAGGTGGGAAGAGAGCTAGAAAGCCAAAAGAATATTTTAACTATGACCAACTGTAGAATATACTTTGTAATAAGCAAAGAGAGAACTGTAAGAGGGAATTGTGAATTTTGGAGTGGGATTTCAGCATTTTGGCCACCCATCCTTGGGCAGTTGACCTCCCATGACCACCAGTCATGGCCGATTGACCATTAGCAGCGATTGACTGGCTTAGGGGGTAGTTTTGCATTAAAACTTTGATTTTATTCGTGTTTCATAACACAAATCAACCTTGATCTTGGCTTATAATATACCGTTGGAAAGATATGGATGTCTAGTTTTTAATACAATTTGAATCACTAAAACATTCTATTTGTATCTCTAGTTATGATCAAAATGGTGGACAAAGGTCATTCTAAGTAGTTTTGATCTACACTGATTTGCAATGATTTTGTGCTTGGTTCATGGCCCATTTCAACTTGAATTTTAGCGTGCCATATACTATTAGAAAGCTATTTCTGTATAGTTTCTAATGGTATAAATATCATACCAATATTCAATCTAGGAAAAGAGTTATGACCAAAAGAGTGGGCAAAGGTCACCTTTGACATTCTAGGTTAACATTCGATCCTTGATCGATTCGCTTCCGGTTTAAACCACACCTTTTATAACTGATTTTCCTATTCACAAGATGAAAGCTTTCAAATCCACTCCTTTCTCTCTAATGGAGGTTCATTCTACTATGAATAATATGTTAGTGCAATAACAACAATTCTTTCGGGCTCAACAGCAACAGTGCATCCGTCCATGCCAGCTCTAGCCTCACAACCACACTAGCAGGCTCTAACCCCAATTGATCTGAGGGCAGCTAATGAAATTGTTTATAATAGATTCATTAGGTATAAGCTGCTTAAATTCATAAAGATCAAGGACGCTTATTCCTTCTTAGATAGAATCAGAGAGTTTTGTGTTGAGCGGGGCTGTAATGATGATGAAACTATTGTATTTGTGGGATGCTCATTCCTACTTAGCTAGAATCAGAGAGTTTTGTGTTGAGCTGGGTTGTGATGATGGTAGAACTATTGTATTTGTGAGACATTGGATGGAGCATACAATTGAGATTTGGTTCAAAGACTATATTCAGCCTTCTATCACCAGGATGTCTTGCAATAGTTTCGATTTTTTTCATGAACCAATTTGTACCAAAAGGAACCAGGAGAGCCAGGATGAGAGAGTTTGAGTCACTAGCTTGAGGGATTTATCTATTGATGAGTATGTCACCAAATTTACAGAATTGAGTAGATACGCTCTAGGACTATATGAGGGTACTAAGATACTAGATTCATTAGTGGGTTGCATCCAATATATAGTACTCCATCCGCCCCAAAATATTTGTCCATATTTCTATTTTTAGATGTCCCAAATATTTGTCCAATTACTTAAAAAATATTTACTTTTCCTTTTATGCCCCTCTTTATAATTAGTTTTAAATTCTAGGAATAACCATTTTATTTTGAAGGAGGACAATTTTAGAAAAGTAGAGATATTTTGTATGATGTGGTACTCTAATTATTATTTTTCTTAAACTTTGTGTAAAAGTCAATATGACAAATATTTTTGGGGACAAAGGGAATACTTTATTTTAGCAAAAAGAATAGGATTTTAGTGTTGTAATTGATTCAGTCAGGCAAATGGAGCCTAAATACATTTTGATGGGGTGATTTCAGGCAAAAAAGGAAACAAGATTGTAGCTCCATCTAGGAGTTGTAATGTAGCAGGGATGAGCGAATCATTTGCTATGAGTACAAAGCTTCTGGGCTCTCAGTTCCAAGGGAAAGGAAGTCTTGGTGGGAAGAAAGATAAGAAGAAATTTGGATAGAGAAAGGGTATTCATATAGGCAGTTCTAGCAGGGGGTACAGTTTTAATTTTAGCAGTGACAGATTTACTGGGACAACCTGTCACAGATATGGAAAAGTTCACAGGAGGCATATAATTAGTTTATTTCTCTGAATTATAAAAATGCTCAAGTCTTCAAAGTGATTAAATTGATTTCAAAATTTTAATAGGGACAGAAAGTTTTGTTAAAAAAATATTTAAATAAATAAAATTTGCCAATAGAAAAAATATTCAACATTTTTTATGTAGAAAATATTTTTTTGAAAATTAAGATGACGAAGGATTTTGCATTTAATATGTAATAAATAAATGGTTAGAAATATTTTTAATGAACTTTTTTTTAATATATGAAAGTTTAATGAATTAGAATAATATTGTGAGCTATATGATAGAGGTAGCCTTTCCTTTTAAATAATATTCACTAAATTAATTATAAATTTTATGATAAAAAGGATAGAAATTCAATATCTCACTTCACATAATTTTTTACAAAACGTAGAAAGACCGATCAGACTAAAGATTGACAATAAAAATCATTGGGTAAAATTAAATATAAATAATTGCACAAATATCAAATGTCTCATTTATTATTTTACCTAATGAATAATTTTTAAACAATAATAGCGACTATTTATTCTCTTACTCCATCGTAATTTTGACCCATCAAAAAGCATGAAACTGACCAAAATTTAAATTTTATTTGAAAATGAATTAATACACGAGGAAATTTGTACTGACTACTGTCATCAAGTGGAACAAGTGGAGGGCCAAAATGGGAAATGGACAAAGATGAAATGATAAAAGCAAAAAAGTCCCTCTCTGATTCTCTTCCTTTACGTGTCCAACCAATCTCAAAACCCTTTCTTTCTTTTTAACCACTACGTCTGTGAGACGGTTTTGTTGA